CTCAGTTGATGAGAAACCTCATCGCAATCAACTATCGATGACGTTCGGGACAAGGTGGTGATGCTCTGCACATTTCTAGAAACATTCAAAACAGTTAAACCAACTGTAGCAACCAGGTTAATCCTGAAAGCCTAGATAGCGAAGGTGCAACAAATTACAGCATGAAAGAACGGTATGAGAAAAGAAGGTAAGAGTGAGATAAGACGTTTCGGTCCAACAATTCATATACGCCTTAACTCAACACTGCAGGACCTCGTCAGTATGACGGTCGTAGTGCTTAATGGAAAAAGAAAGGAAAAAGACAACTGGAAGAAAGCCTTCTCAAACGCCGAAATCTGTCATTAGTTCCCTTCTTATTTGAAAAAAAAAGCTCCAGTTATTGGCAATTTTGACGCCGTAGTTAGCACTGATACCAATTTATCATCGAAACGAAAAAAATAATAATTTGCAAATAGGGGTGACTGTCCCATCTGTACAGTTGAACCCACCAATTTCAGCATAAAAAGACCAGTATTACTTGTCGTTACGCCATGCCTACCTACCAACAAATAATATGAAAAATCAAGGCAATCCGAAAAAAGATCGGAATCGAATCAGACTGTTAAAACTTACTTTCAAAAAAACCCCGAGCTACCTCGGAGTAACTATTCCAGCACACAAAACCTGCTGCACAGCACCGTTGGAGGATCAAGAGAACTTCTCCCCATTCGATTTTTCCAATTTTCGTTTTTCGGAAAAAAGAAAACACAAACCTTAAAAACATGGAAAGCTTCAAATTGAATACTACGGCTTTTTTCCCTGAGCATATTCATCATGAGCTTCAGATTGTCCGCATTATTGATATAACGCGTCATCACGTTGAAATTATGACGATCCAACAATAATTCACCTAGCAACTGCAAAACAGAAGATCACTAATCTCTTTATCAAGTGAAAAATACTTGCGTAACGTGGTCACTGACGAAAGCTGAAGAGTGGAATTTTGTTGTGGCGAACAGAGAGATGGAGCGAAAGATGCATGGAGTAAATAATGCTTCGTCTGATAAAATGGCGCAAAAAACAACGTAGCGATGGTACGCAATCGCTATAATCTAATAGAGGAAACGTGGTTTTCTCGCTTTGTTTGCAGTCCAGGGACTTTCCTTTCCATTCAGTGGTACTTATGAGAAAGTAAGTGGACTAGCTACAGCCTCCAAACAAGTAATTCATATACACAGTATATGTGGTGGGTACTGAAGAAGCTCAAAATAAAATTATCTCAAGAAAAAAACATTTCATAGCAAAAAAAAAAACACTTATTAAAATTTTCCGCATATTCCCAACACTTTACGTACTATAGGGTGTAAAAAATTTAAACCCCCCCCCCCCTTCCACGCTTTTTATGATAGGTTGAGTACTCAGAATAAGCCCGAGTGGGCATAAAGCAGCGAATCGTCACCAGCTCGTTCCTAAGAAATCCTTTAAAGAGTGAGCCAACAAAAGTGTTTTGAACAAGTAGTTGCTTTTGACACACCCAATTTTCGGGCTATTTCTCGGTGTTTTTTCTTTTTTCGGCAAGTGCCAATGGCAACCACACGCTGGTAAAATTGTCGACAGCACTCTTTTTCGAAGATTTCTTAGAAATAAACTAAT